GATGCTGCTTGGCCTGCTGTGTTCATCCAGCCCTGCACCTTGTTGTCCCTATTACAAGGCCTCTGGTTTGAGATAGAAGGCTATTTATTTGTGTTGCAACACCACAGGCAGCACTTCCTGCACATGTGCAGCTGCAGTGTCAGCACGTGAATGTTTAAAGTGAGAGATACTTTTAAATACAGCTCTGCTTTCTGTCATTGAATTGTGCATTTTTTGGTCAGTTGGTAACTTATAATTGTCTCCTTTACAATTAAGATCAACCTTTATTTGTGATGGAGAGTTTTATTTCAGGAAAAGTTTACAAATTATTAATTAAAGCAATACTGTTTCTCTTGTAGTGAATACAAGATGCCTGAGTGATAGGTAGATTTTTATCTCCAGCAAGCCATTAACAACTTAAGAGCATAAAATATTCAAGGAAAATAATCATCAGCAATGCCAGTCTTGAAATCACAAACCTGGGATTATGAGTCTTATTTTTTTAATCAAGTGAACTCAGCTGTGAACAAACTGAAAAGACAGACAAACTTCACATATTGACTGTATCACTGTTTTTGCTTTTTTTTTGGACATAGTGCATTTGTAGGCAAATCAGGTCACACTGAGATTGCTGAGAAAGCACCAAAGTTCCACATAATACAAATTGGTGGGTGGCCCCTACTATTTAGCTTGTCATTATTTTACTGTTTTTCCTTTTACTTACTGAAACAAATTCAAACTCTCCAGGGTAAATCATAAAAGCACATCAAACAACTAAGCAAAAAAAAAAACTGCATTAGGAGGTATATTTAATCTATTTAACAATATGTTCATTGACTGAAATCTAGATGAAATAGGAGCATTTATTACAAAAAAAAATCAAAAGTAACATCTAGCCAATATTAGTTTAGGTGACAATTAAAATTTGCCTCAAGACCACATGTTCAAAAAAAGGAGACCTCTCTATATACGTTTTTATCTGAAGTCACAACACAAAACTTAGTATTCACTGAAAGTTTAGTTTTCAAAAATGACTCAAGTAAATATATAAAAGTGATGGGGCAGGAACAGACCCGCTGTCATTCAGCCTACTGTAATTTTGTTTTCAGACATGATCTCCAACATTTAAAAACACCAGCAGCTAAGTAATCTTTTGGCAAATTTCCTTCCAGCCTGAAAACAACATAGGGCAATAGCGAAAGATACTTACTGATTTACTTGATGGCTACAATTTGCACTTGTGAAACTAACAACCATCTGCAATTTCTCTGTAGCATAGTCCACAAATTGGCGCTTGAAAGCTCTCTCCTTTGCTTTTGTTGTCCATGTTAAACGCTCATACATGTACAATATACCGTAGAGACTTAGAGCAATAGCTATAAGCCTCCAGCCCACAGCTCTGAAAATCTAAGGGAAAACCATGAGAAAACATTAATTTAAAACAACACCATTAAATAAAAACTACTGTAAATCTGGTATGGCGCACCTTCACCCAGAAATGAGGGACAGATTTCAATTTTATCTGCTTCACAGAGCAAAGGTTTGGGGTAAAACCTCTGCATTGTCTGTCTACCTTATAATTTTTCATTAACTATTTCTGATCTTTGAAGTAGTCTCTTCCACGGCAACAATTACCAACAACATCTTTTTTGTACTGTTACAATATAAGTGGATATATGTCTGTTAACGAGTTAGTTGCTACCAAATGTTCCAAAACGTAAACAGACAGAGATAATGTTCATCACAATTAAATACTAGTTGAGGGAAAAAGCATCAGGCCTATCTTGGGCTGAATCTATATTTTTTACCCCCCAGTCCTAGTCTTGTTATATCCCCGTAGGGCTTCTGTAAGGGCAAGTCGTATAAATGGGGAAATGGAGCCATAGTGACTATTCCCACATCTTTGGAATGCAACTTGTTGTTTTGTTGTTAAATACAGATGCTTAAGGTACCACTCCTCCATTTTCTTGAAGTTAATCAGGATGTAAAGGGCAATTTTATGAAGAAAGGTTAAACAGGAGGGACCTGTTCTTATTAGACTTTAGGAGAAAGAGAAGTGCTCTTACTGAAGATCACAAAAGCTTCTGAAGGGGCTTGACAGGTGCATGCTGAGAGGATTGTGACAGTGTAAACTTCAGAACTTTAATAACTGTTCATGGATTGCAAGAATCATCAATAACTCTTTCTAAAATAAACTGTTAAGGGACAAGGACAAACTGTTACACAGGAACTGAAAGCAATTATACATGCCTGGAAAAAGGAGGAGTTGAAGCTACATAAACAAAACTGTTTTAAGACTCTGTTGGTTGGAATCATAGCTAAACTCCACCACTAATCAGGGGATAGCCAAGTAGGGTTGTGAGGCTTAACTTGCTTATTTGAGGGGGCCTATTTTTGGTTATGCTGTGCAATAAAGTTTAAATAACTATTTTAGTATTTGACGGTCTGCGAGATTTCTTAATAAGTAGTCGGATTAAAGGTTGTTTGTGGTAATTTACACACAACATATATCCCCTTGTGGGGAAGTTCACAACTGAGAACAGTTTGAAAATGAGGAGTCTTCCGTTTGAGACAGATAAGAGGAACTTCTTCTGAGAGTTGCTGGTCTTTAGAATTCTCTTCTACAGACAGCAGTGACTATATTAAAGGCTGAGTTCGACATATTTAAGATCAACAAGGCACATCAGGGTTATTGGAGAGTGGAGATGAGGGGTGCAGGCAGTTAACGGGAGTTAAGGCCAAGATCAGATGAGCCATTATCTCATTTAATGCTGCAGCAGATTAAAGGAGTTGAATGGCCTACTCCTGCTAATATTTCTGATAATTTTATAAAGCAGCAAACTGTAAAGTTCAATATGCAAATCACAGCTTGTGCAAACAAACTGGAATAATTATTACTAGCGCAGATATTGTAGCATGATACAGCACAAAAGGAAGCCATTAAGACCACCTGTGCCCATAATAAACACTTGTTCTAACCTGTGATATTAGCTCAATTTTAGAAACTGTGCAAGAAACTACTTACCACTCCTCCAATAATGACAACACCCACTGAAGTCCTAGATGTCAGAGAAGCGAGTCCAGTGACTAGAGAGATCATCAGCTCTTCCTGTGCCATGTTTTCTTGAGCAAGTGCAGGTACATTTGTCACTGGTGGTGTTGTAGATAAAGGTCGAGGAATCTATAAATACGAGATTGCATAAGATGTAAATTTGCATTGTACATTATGTGCAAAAATGAGTAAATATAGGCATATGAGCAGACTATTCAGCTCCAAATGAAACATTCTGAACAGGAGATGAAGTGCTAGTGCTATTATCATTATAGAGAGATTAAGTGATCCTTACAAGATTGTTAGGAGGTTAGGAAGGTGACTAAACTGGTAGATACTCTTGCTCGCAAGAACAAGAATCTGTTATGCGATATAAACATATTAAAGAAATAGAGAGGAAGATAAGAAACAGCAAGTATGTCAGGTGGTAAGAGTAGTGGAGGATGACAGAAACAGTAAGACTGAAGTAGAAGGATAAGTAGATAGTTCACAAAGAGAACCTCCTACAATCTGATTTGCCAATACTGATACATTCGGACAGTTGACATTATTCTTGTACTTAGAAGGCCTAAGGGAAGATCTAATAAGGTTACTCATGAAAGGACATCTGTAGAGGTAGACTCGAATGTATTATGTTGCCCAGGTTTAATGTAGATGTAGGGGAATCAGTAATAATAAAACAATACATTGATCATTTAATTCCAGAAAACAAGGCTTAGGGAGAAACAGAGATTCAATACATGCTAGAATATCACTTCATCAGACCTAGTCAACTAATAATTTTATTACAAAACCAGGCAAAGGTAATTTGAACAAAAGCTTTTGAGAAGGTGAACACAATCTGAATGAATGAACCAGTGTTAGCCACCCCTGATTTTACTGAAACTTTTAAAATGGCAATTGATGTTAGTGACTTGGGAGTGGGTGAGGTCTTATTGTAAATTTATGAATCAGGAATTGAGAAGTCAGTGGTTATTTTCTAAAAAACTAAAATAAGATAGATGTAGTACTCTACAGTGGAAAAGGGAACTCTGGGATTGTTACTAGCTCTTAAATGTTTTCAAGTTTATGCCCATCAAAAGCAAAAAGAAACACTAATATACACTGATCATAATCCTTGGCTTTTGTTGAAACATTTATAACTTGAAAAGCAAGCTTATTTTGATGCAGCTAATTAATTCAATCTTATAATATCAGAATTGTTCACTTTGCTGCAAAGAACATAAACATACTAGAAAAGGTCGAAAACTTAAGAAAAGATATCAAGCTTTTGTAAAAATCCAGAGAAGAATGACTGAGATAAGTGAATATAATTTGTGTGTGTTTTATTTGCATACGACACGTTTACTTGGTGATGAAACACTTAAACATGGTGTTTCATCTCTCTAAGGGTGAAGGCATGTAAAGAGTACAGTTATTATAATTTAGAAATATAAATTGGAAAATGGAAACTTGGATTATTATTATTTTTCTTATAACTCAAAGAAAAGTAGAATATTTGTTGTTCTTTTGCCAAAACTGGAAAGACATGCCAGCACCAGGTGGCTTGAGAAAAAAAAGTAACTGCCCAGAAATAGGGGATAACAAGGTATAGAGCCGGATGAACACAGCAGGCCAAGCAGCATCAGAGGAGCAGGAAGGCTGACGTTTCGGGCCTAGACCCTTCTTCAGAAAAAAGTGATCCTTACAAGATTGTTAAGAGGTTAGGAAGGTGACTAAACTGGTAGATACTCTTGATCGCAAGAACAAGAATCTGTTATGCGATATAAACATATTAAAGCAATAGAGAGGAAGATAAGAAACAGCAAGTACGTCAGGTGGTAAGAGTAGTGGAGGACGACAGAAACAGCAAGACTGAAGTAGAAGGATGAGGGTCTAGGCCCGAAACGTCAGCCTTCCTGCTCCTCTGATGCGCTTGGCCTGCTGTGTTCATCCAGCTCTACACCTTGTTATCTCAGACTCTCCAGCATCTGCAGTTCCTACTATCTCTGCCCAGAAATAGGGTTTGAATTGATAGAGTTTTTCAGACCAGAAGGGCTGTTGGGACACAGACCTTCAAAAAGCCTGTAAAGAAACTGGATCATTATCACTTTGCTTTATTGAAAGATAATTAACACTTGAAAGTCTTTGCGAAAAGAAAGAAAATTTCTAAGTCATGCCAAGACTAAAGTCCAACTGACCAGCTACTGAATCGAGGAATGTCACAGTCAACAACAACATGATATCAATGCAAAAATCAAAAGAAACCTTTGAGAAAAGTCACATTATTCCAGCCCTTTTGTGGACTTTTCATCCACAGACCCTGCACCTTCTACCTGTCTTTCCATTTAGGGGGCTGGTTTAGCTCAGTTGGCTGGTTTGTGATGCAGTAACAACAATAGTGTGGGTTCAATTCCTGCACCAGCTGAGGGTACCATGAAGGACTCTGCTTCACAATCTCTTGCTTCACCTCCAGCATGGTGACCCTGAGGTTAAACTACCATCAATGTTGTTTTGTCTAATGCGACAGCAGAACTATGGTCTGGTAAGACTATGGCAACTTTTTTTAAAAAAAAAAAAAAAAAAGAGTATCATAAGCAAAAACAAAGTCTCATAAACATGTCGGTCATGTGTGAGAATGTGTGTTTAGATTTAAGTTTACAGTTTATGTTTGAATTAGTAGTTAATAATCTGTCTTATTATCACGTTAGATGTTAAGCTTATTACAATAAATGTATTTTGTTTCTTGTTCGCTGATGAAACTTATGCTAAGTTTCTTTTATCTATTATCTATGGTCACAGTGGGAGTTGTTGGCTGGTTTGCCGAGCTGCCTGGTTTTCACATGAACGTTTTGTCTCCCTTCTAGGTGACATTGTCAGTGCTGTGCAGCCTCCGTTGAAGCGCTGTTGTTCTGTCCTGCTCTGAATTTATATGGTCCGGTCTGTCATGGTGGGTAGTCTTGTTTTCGGTTTTGTACTGTAGTGGCATGTAGATGGGGTCTATTTCAACATGTTTGTTAATTGCATCAGTGGTTGAAAACCAGGCCTCCAGGAATTTTCGTGCTTGTCTTTGTCTCGCTTGTCCTAGTACTGTAACTTTGTCCCAGTTAAATTGATGTCCTTCTATGTCAGAGTGTATTGAAATCAGAGACAGTTGGTTGTGCCATTTTGCTATAAGTTGGTATTCATGTATCCTGGTGGCGAGGTTCTTGCCCGTCTGTCCTATGTGTTTCTTGCAGTTGCTGCATGTTATTTTATATATCACTTTGTCCTGCTCATTGTGGGTATGGAGTCTTTTGTCTTTGACAGTAACTGGCGAAGTGTGGCTGTTGGTTTGTGTGCTATCCTTATTCCCTACTTAGTTCCTACACTGAATAGGAGAAGCCAGGCAAACACACTCAACACAAAAAGCCCTCAAAAGGACTAAAGGAGGACAGGATCATAATCTTACCGGCAGACAAAGGCTGCTTGACAGTTATAATGAGCAAATCGGACTATATTGAAAAAGCACAAAAACTACTTGCAGATACCAGCACTTCCCAACAGAGTCAGTCAGTTAGGGAACAGAATCACCTGTACACTAAAGAAATCACAACAGGCAAGCCAAATAATAAGAACAGACTTCCTAAAATTAAAACCCGATGGATCAAACACCCTCCCGATTCTACAGACTACCCAGAGTACACAAACCTGACATCCCCCTCAGATTCACAGTTTCCTTGCCAGGCACACCGACATAGGCTAGCCAAGGAGCTATAACACAGACTAAAACACCTCACCAAATGGATCGACCCACTAAATACACTCAGCACAGGACAACATCAGGAACATAAAAATCAACAAGGAGGAAATGATGGTATCCTTTGACGTTATAGCACTATTCAATCCTTTGATGTTATAGCATTATTCACCTCTATTAACATGACACTAGCAAAGGAAACACTGGCCACATTACTAGACAATTCGAAAACACAAACCTCCAATGAAACCATCAGCAAGGACAACATGCTAAAATTACTAGACTTATGCCTTACCACACACTTCGTTTTCAACGGCCAGGTATATGAACAAATTAATGGAACACCCCTGGGTTCACCCAGCTTGGGGCTCATAGCGGAAGCTGTTATGCAAAGACTGGAACGCACAGCCCTCCCTCAGATCCAGCCTAAACTATGGGTTAGATACGTGGACGATACCTTCATGATCATTAAATGAGCGCACTTAGAAGAAACACAACACCTTATTAATAGCATATTCACTGGGATCATGTTCACCAGAGAAGAACAGAACAACAATCAACTCCCATTTCTGGACGTAATGGTGGAACAAATGAACAATGATGAATTCCTTACCAACATATACAGAAACACTACACACACAGACCAAGTTCTGAATTACAACAGCAACAACTCCAGAATCCACAAAGCTGTGTCAAGACTCTGTATATATGAGCGATAACTCACTGTAACACCCTGGAGCTGCACAAAAATGAAGAGGAACACCTATACAGAGTCTTTGCAAACAATGGTTATCCTAACAGCTTCGTCTGCCAATGTCTGGGAAACAAACAACGTGAAGACGACACTGTAACCCCCAACACAATGGCCATAGGGTACAATGTTAGAAACGCATGAGAACTGACTACAAGACTCCCGCGGCCTCTTAGAATAAGGATACCACACAAACCAACACACACTTGGTCAGTACCCAATGAGCAGGATAAATGTAACACATAAAATACCATGCAGAAAATGCTAGAAACACTATATAGGACAGATGGGCAGGAAACTCACCACCAGGATACATGAATACCAACTTGCAGCAAAATGGCACAATCAACGGTCCCTGATTTCAATACACTCCGACATAGAAGGACATCAATTTAACTGGGACAAAGTTATAGTACTAGGACATGCGAGACAAAGACAAGCACAAGATTTCCTGGAGGCCTGGTTTACAACCACCGATGCAATTAACAAACATGTTGAAATAGACCCCATTTACATACCACTACGGTACAAAACCAGAAACAAGACTGCCCACCATGACAGACCAGGCCATATAAATTCAGAGCAGGCCAGAACAACAGCGCTTCAACGGAGGCTACACAGCACTGACGATGTCACCGAGAAGGGACATGAAAACTGTCAG